TTTAGAATGCAACAGGACTGAGTCTTCACAGATGTTAAGAACTGTTTCGCCCTTAGAACTATGGCCCTATGGATCTGTTTACGGGAGACCCAACTAACAGCAGATTATAAAAAGGATGCTGGATGTCCATTTTAATCTCACAACCACTTCCAGTACTTTTTGAGTTACTTCTTTTACCCTTTCGTTTGGAAAAAAACAACAAAAACTGCAGCTTAACATTACAAATGCGACTTTTAGACTGGAACTTGGTTTAAACCTTTGTTTCATATTCGATTCTTAATGAAAGTTCTGGAATAAATTTTTGAACCTAATGCTACTTTGTTTTATCTACTTAATCGTTGCAAGAAACTGGTGATAATCGAGCCTCTCATCACCTAATTCATGTGTTCAGGCTTCCGTGTCTATTAGCAGGGGATCACCAAAACCTCCAAGCAGGAACCTAGGTATGTTAACAATAAAAGATCCAGTCGCCTCCCAAATGACTCCTGGGAAGTCGCTTGGACTAGTTCGGCGAGCAGCGAATTCCAGCATTCGACAATTCTTAAGGAGTAGAAGTTGCGTCTACAGTCCATCCTGCTATGTCGTGTCTCTAGTTTCTGGGACTAAGCTCAAATAGGTGTTTAAGAAAATGTCAAGAAGTGTTAAGGATCCTGTAAGTAAATAGGTCACCTCTAAGACGTCTATACTTTAATGAGTAGAGGTTAAGTGATTGGAGGCGCTCTTCATAAGGTGATTTGGTGCATATCTCAGTCACTTTCTTAGGAAACCTACAGGCTCGGGTCCTCTCACAACTTATTCTAGCCACCGTGAGTTGCCACGAAAACTGATGGATGGACACGCGTTACACATCCTAACCGTCCCTGCGTCTAATCTCATAGCTCCTTATTCAAATGTCATATGATAAGCAAGTAATGCTTCTACCGACACTAATGGAACACGAGTAATTCAAAGGCACCCTGTATGGTACTTTACATTGGTCTACGCACTCACTTAGCTCTTTAGTGGGAATATTACTACAGTCCTGCTAAAAAACCCATGAACCCCCCTACCACCATCAAAACAATAAGTCTGTATTTGCTGCATATAGCAATTTTATTTTTCAGAAGATATAACAGTAAGAATTGGAGTAAAATAACAATATACAACAGATGCACGTGGTACATGTCTTCATCGATCATCTGAAATAGAGAATACGGATATTAGCTTAACTTGCTTATTTAGAAAGACTAGTGTTTACTTTGAACTTACTGTGTGAGAAAGTTATACTGGAACTGTGAATAATGTAGGAATCTAGTCTCCCAGGGCGTACGAAGCACTCAAACTGGAAGACAGTTGTCACAAATTAATTCGAATATGAAGTTGAGAATTTGCAAGTACTTTTCATCGTAAAGGTGAACATATTAGATAACGGTTGACATCATACCGTAAAAATAACAAATTTGCGAGTGGTGAATTATGGTCTATAAAAAGCTGAGCTTAATAACAGTTAGTTACCTTTTTACTCCCTGATCATGACCCTTCGGCTTCCTTTTGTGGCCAAAACAGCAAACATACACTACACACTGATAGCAGATCTCCGGCTTTTCAATGTTAAGCTTGCTTTAACGCACTACGTAATGCGTACAACCCCTCCATTACTGCTATGTGGCATATTTTTTCATAACAAACCCTCTGCAATAGATTGGTAGCATCAGTGACTTCGTCTATGGTTGTCGGAAGCCTGGGTACTTTCGAAAACAATACTGACATCCCCTACGGCTAGGCACTAAGTATTAGTTTGACTCATTGGTGGGATATTGTTGTCCGCAATACTGAAGAAAATTAAAAACCGGAAATTGTTTCCTTTCATTTCGCCGATAACATCATAGAGGACAGTTAGGAATGAACATGCGGACAGTCAGTCACAGGACGCAGCAACAGTTATTTCAGCTAAGAAAAAACGAACTTCGGCTTTTGATACCTTGAAAACAAGTCAAAACTAAACCGATTTCCATTTTAAAACATAAGACTAACCAGCTTGACTGAAGAAATACATTGACTAGAGTAGAAGCAGCAAAAACTCAAAAAGCAATGCTGATTCGAAGTAAATTTCACACCAACATGTAGAACATAACACTAACTGCGGCATCTTAGCACATTGAAACATTAATTACACAGCTACACAAAAGAAATAGCTAAAAGAAGCACAGAACGAAGAAAGCCGGCCGCCATTACGTACAAAGATGGCGGATATAATAATTCCCGCCACATTCTGATTGGTTGCTAAGCTGAAAGGCACATTTACGAAATTGAGTTGCGTTTAATTGCAGCCGTAGATGTTGGACTACAGCCGCCTTGACTACTTTTTCCATCACACTAGATACAACTGAATTTATGTTTATAGGCCGGTAATTTTCAACCTTTGCTTCAGGTCCTGTTTTAATTTTGGGGTTGATATGTGTAGTTTTCCAGTCAGTAGGGTAACATGCTGAAGAGAGTGATATCGCGAATAGTTTGAGAAGCAAAACACACATATCATCACCTACACGTTTTAGCATGCTAGATGGAATACCATCTGGTCCATCAGTGTAGGAGTGTCTCAATGTACTGATTACCTTGGAGATATTTTGTACATTGAATTCTACATTAGTAATTTCACAGGGAGTTACTGGGATTGGTTCGGAATCATTAAATGATTTTTCGTTAGTTAGTGAGAAACAAAAGTGTTCACTAAATAATTCTGTGACAAGTTTGGGATTTCCATATAATTGTTTGCCTTTAATGAATATACTCCCTCTCGATTTAGAGCGTTTAAGTTTATTTTGGAGTAGTACGGTGAGTACAGAGGAGCTATTATTAAGTCCAACTGCACGTTTTTCTTGTGTGATTTACTTATCGTCCCTGTTCGGACAAGTATTTCTGTCATCGTTACTAAAGAGGAAAAGTCATTTAAGTTGTGAAATCGGGTACAATGTCTTTGAAGACTTCTTTTTGTACTGACCGGTATATAGCAATCTTTAGAGAACGTAGGTTCACTGTATTTTAAAGGTGCGATGTTGTTGATGATACCTTTGATGTTGTGATAAAATATATTGGTTAATGTGTCGGTATAGTTTGAGGTAAAGAAAGTTCTCTAATCAGTGCTTCTTAGGTAATTGTGGGAGTTATTCCAATCAACCTTGCGATAGTTTCTACGAAGTGTTAATTCTATCGGTTGTGGTTTTTACATTAAGGCTGAATATGACAATGTTATGATCACTACCTGGGAACGTTTTTCCAATATACAAAGTATTGGGGATGAGGCCACTGGTAAAGACTAAGTTTAAGATGTTTTGATGTCTGGTAGGGCTATCGACATACTGAGTCCATTGTCCAAGCTCTAGACATTCAATAAATGATTCATAACGTCTCGGCGCTTTGACTGGCAGCCAAGAAATTTCGAGCATATTGAAGTCACCACAAATGAGCTTGCCTGTGAATGAGAGGGATGACGCTAGTGTAAATACCTCCGATAATACTGCTATTTCATCTATTGATGCGTTAGGTTGACGATAAACACAGCCGAGCAGTAAGGTAACGGAATTCGACGGCTTTAATACAATCCACACCGAATCCTTTAGTTTGTTTAGTTCAGGCATATCACATAGTAGTGAGTTTAGGCTAGAGTGAGTGTAAATAAGGCATCCTCCGCCTCGTCCATTCAATCTGTCGCTTCTATGTAGGAAATAGTTATCAAGAGTTATACTTCGGTGGGAAATATTACTGTTAGTCCATGCTTCAGATATCATTATAAGTGATGGTTGATATATGGATACAAACAGGGCTAAATCCGTCGGATAGAGAGCTTTGTAGCTGTCGGATGTCATTTCTTTATCTATCAGTATTTTTGTGTGTATGAGGTGGACCATTGGACCGTTTAGTTTTTGAAATTTTAGATTTAGGCCTTGGTAGCACATACTGTCTAGTAGACTGTGCTGACGTTTCGATGCACGTAGGTATAGTGTCTTGTATATCAACCAGTCTCACCGGTGGCATACTGCACGTAGAGATAGAGGGGCTGAGACATGGAGAATCTGGTGATGATAGAGACATTTGTTTACAGTACACATATTTTTCAGTAGTTAAAGGTTCGACATTGTCAAGCACTGAGTTGCAGATTTGGACCTTTTATTTGGCTTAGAAGTTGGTGAAATTTCTCTTTTACTGGAGTTATTGGACATGATATAGGAGGCAGTCAAGAGTGAATAATGTCCCATAAAGACGTCTACATTTATTTGCTTCAAAGCATCACTAGCATGCATTCAGCAGACATCTATTACGTAATTATATTCATTTGCATGATACATCAGACAACGTTGGTGTTTAGTGTGTAGGCGTAAAGATCTAACCAAAAGTTCAACAATGCTTGCAAGTAAGCTCAATTAACAGCGTATTTTCATTATTTTCATGAACATGACTAAACTAGGCTCATACATCCCAAAAATTTAGCCGATCTATCAATAATCTATTGAATTAGTTGCTATAAAGTATGAATAGTAGGCATATATGTAACAAACATCGACGTTAAACAGCCTAAATTTAACCCGCTGTGGTGGAATAATAATCCCGAAAAACGTCGATAACACTTGATTTACAAACGAAAACCCCAAATTTTACTTTCCGTGTATTAGTGGATTTTAAACCGAACCATTAAGAAACTCTTTAATAAATATGATTAAATATGAACGACATGCTTATTCATTACTGATTTGACATTAAACTACAAACCTGGTATGTTCTGCCTTTCGGATGAATCAATGAAATTTTTCGCATAAAGTAAAAACCTGGTGTAATTCAGGAACACGTACTTGTTATTTCTTCCATGATAAACATTTCAGAGTTGAGACAAATCTTTAAACCATATATAACATAACATTGCTATTTAACATCTAAACTCGAAGAAAACCCCAGACAGGATTTAGACATATGGTGAAATCAAGAAAGTACACGATCTGGAGCAGTAAGTACAATAGCCCAATATTGTTTAAGTTGTTTTGGGCCGTGGCCTTAAGCGGGCTAAAAGGATGAGCGATTATGTCCTGGATGGAGATCACGATGTTCATGAAGATGAGTTCGGTGATGAAAACGGGAAGGAGGACGTCAGTGTGACCGACGAAATGCATTTCGATGCTGTAAATAGTACTACAAAAGTTTATGTTGCTATAGGAGCTGGAGGCCATCAAAGAACGCTTCAAAGAAATTGAAGCAGATGCCAATAAATTACATGACTTGCGCCGTGTTATCGACAAGTCTCCAATCTCAAGTAAGTTTTTAGCTATTTGTATGTTGTTAATTTTTGTCCAGCGAAAATACCCCTGTACTTAGCTCTGAGTCATATCATCCCATCGTTTGTGTCCAAGTTCTGTTGTCTAATAGCGTTTTCACCTCAATCGTTACGAAGTTATTAGTTGTAGAATTACTGTTTGGAAGCGCCTGTTACTTAACAATCTTTTCTGCTTCAGTTAATTAAACACCGCTTCATGGTTGCCCAGCATTTAATTTCGTCTTCGCTCCTCAATGCTTGTGTAAATTGTTTCAGTGCATGTTTGTATCATTGAAAACTCACATATTCTCCAATCACTAACACCATTGTTTTCTATCAAAACAGTCTCGTTTTTACCAGTGACCACATTGTTATCCGTTTGTCCTATGTTTCACGTCACACACGTGTCATCACTCGTCGTTGGTCAGATTTGAGCATATGTCCCTATGATTCTGGTGCCTGTCATCATATCGTAACTGAGAACCGGGCACGTAATATTGAGCATAATTATTCTAGCACATGTTCATACAGATTTCCGACCGATCATACGTAGTTGGTTGTGGCGATTCGCTTTCCGAACCGCGATGGCTTAAACGAGGTTTAAGATTGATTTCAAATCGAAAGTGCATATCCATTCATATCTTGGTACGTGCTAGCATAAAAAACGAGCCGATTATATCGTGAAGAATTTGAGAACGGTAGGTAGAAAACAACAAACAATTAAACAACATTTGGCAAAAATGCAGATCTCAGTTAAAAATAGTCAATAAGTACTTTCACGCAAGGAACCTCATCATTTATGAAGTGCAATAGAAAACTACAGTAGGATCGCATCTGCCTTCTATTATGACCGACGTTTTACACAGTTCTTGGGATCCTAAACGAGACATCACGGTAAACTAAATAGTTCCAACCCTGTACAGCTCTTTCATATCGTGGCTGGTTTATAATGACCACCTGCATATTTCTGTCAACCAGACCTAGTGTCGGTAAATAATCACGTGAAAATCACCAATATGAAATTTTTGCAGCATGAAGTCATCAAAATTTACTTGGATGGCGACTGCAACTAGCTTATCTCTATATCGCCTGACCACTAGTTTGGCGAATCCGACTCATTTTAAACTTTCATAAATTTAAATGATCACTTGTCTCATGTCTACATAATAATTAGTCTATATACAGAAGATAGCTAAAACGATACTTTCCAACCGTTTGTCATGTCACACACGTCGAAAATTACTTTCTAAAGTTATCTACAAAATACTCGTTTACGCTGTTCGATATACTTTACGTGACGTGCTTACTAAACTATTTCCTCCTAAAGTTGGTGTAAAAACTAACGCGCTTAAGCTACTCAAGTTTTCTGTATTGTACACATTGATTTGACTTGATTTTAGCATTTCGAATTTTATTTTCTGCTGCAGAATCGAACAACTCAAATTTGTCAGATGAAGATAAAACTGAAGTTGACTTGCGTTCTGTATATGTTGGAAATGTAAGTCAGTATTGTATCCCATTCAAAAGTTAGGTTGATTATGGTTCGACGGCCGATGAACTAGAAGCACATTTTCGTAGTTGTGGACCGATAAACCGTGTTACTATATTGTGCAACAAATTCACTGGGCACCCTAAGGGATTCGCATACATTGAGTTTGATACTCGTGACGCTGTCGAAGCGGCAATCGCTCTGGATGATTCATCTTTTCGGAGTCGGCAGTTAAAAGTTCTACCTAAACGTACAAATGTTCCAGGAATGTCCATGACAAATCGTCCCCCTTTCGTGAGAGGTCGCGCGCGCGGCAGAGGGATGTCTATTGGTTTCCGTCCAGCATATGCTGGTCGAATGCGATTCCCGCGATATCGGTAAGTTTCGCAAGCACTAGTAAAATTCATCGTTATTTTCCTGAGAGTCTAAGGCTTATCTTCTCTTCCATGATTTTAGGCGACGTGGTAGTTATTACTTTACCCCCTATTAAATTGGACCAATGAAAAAATTAAGAAAAAAGAAATCGATCACAGAAGAAACTTCCGCAACATGTCCTTGTATTCTACGTTATCCAACCATTTCGCAGAACTAATAGCTTTGTTGTCCAAATTTTAGGTATTTCGTACCATTGTATGGTGCCGCATTCATTTTGTTCTGCAATCTAATAAGACTACAACATACCTGTTGAAAAATTAACATTCAAACATCCATTGTAAATTGGTGCTAATTTGATTTTTGTACCATCTGGCTTGTTTATCAATGTGTATGTCCGAAAAAAACTTCTCAATTATGTGTTTTTACCTATGGTCAAATGCAGGTCAACGTTGTTACTTCGTAAGGTCATGTCAGAGGTTACTAATTACACCTTAGGCTAATGTACTTGTCTCTCATACATCGATACTGAGCTCTTTCAGAAACTAGGTGAATTAAAATTAACCACAATAACCCGTTTCATTTGTTTAAAAATGAAATCCATATCATGGATGGAGACAACTTAGTGATGGGCAAGCATTACCATATTAAATAGCGAAAGACTCGACATGAATACATCAATAATAAAGTAGAAAACTAAACATTGGAGAAATCATTTCGAAAAGACAGGACAACTTCAAACTATAAAAAGTGCGGAGTAATATTAAGGCTCAATACTTAAAGATGAGACGAATTAACCAAACAAGTGTTCGACAAATATCAAACTTTGGTAAAAGAGGTAACTTCAATTTCTTTAGAATTTGCAGAAGGCAAATATAAATTATTTTATTTCCGAAAAAGTAAATCAGGATATCGCTTTAGATATCATTTGACAATAAGATGTTTCGTCACAACTTCATATTGTCAACAATAGTACAAAATATTCACCACTCATTTTTGTTGGTACTAGCATTCTTGATATTCCTCATTTGAAAATGCAATTTGTCTCTGGACTTCTATCCAACCTCAGCGAGATATTTATCAAGTCTTAGTTGATGCCTTCGTAGCTTATAAAAGCAGATACCTACTATACTCAAGTAATGTAGATTGACAAATCGTCTGATTACAATCATTAAAGGTCAAATGTATCCTGTATCCCTTTTAGAGTTAGTCCTGTGTAATGAAATTATGACAATAATATTTCATTGTGGTTACTGAGTGCATAATAGTTATGCCTGGAGGCCTCTTCATAATATTTTACCATCATTACAAATAAAAAAGCTGCTTAGTGTTGTAAAGCACTGTAAGTGCTCCACATTCATTCAAGCATTTACTCCCTTTCCATAAAAACCTCATTGCTCATCGAGTTTATATTTCAGGTACAAGATCTTTAAAAATACGAAAGGATATAATATATATATTCGGTATCTTAGTCAAATTATGCGAGGAAGTATGCCTATGTTTCGAATAATCGGTCTTGAGTGGGATTCTAGATAATGCTCCATCAATGACCGAAGTCTGCTGATGCGATATCGAGCGAACGGGATGATCAATATATCAAATCGTTTTCTAATTATCCGACGTATTTGTAGAATAAAACGTAAGCCATACGATCCGCTTAAGATACATTACATCGTTGCTAATTGAATCATAGAAGGCTAGAACCCTGGATGGCCAAAATTAAAGACAATAATTTCTGGCTCTGTAAATAAGGGTAGCTATATGCTCATGTTATTTTATAACAAACAACGATATGAGATCAATGAACTGACCATAATAGTGTAACTAAATAATATAATCAGCCTAGCAAGCAGGAAAATATAATAACCTAGAGCGACCAGTCAAAAAAAGATGATATAGCAATCACAGATTCAACGGACACATGCGTGTAGAACAGTTTGAAAAGCTATTGAGTAGAAAAGCCCCACTGAACCCAAACAACATTGAGGCAACACACAGACCTTCCCATAGATGTTACCACAACAACAATCAAATAAGTATGCATGGCCATAAGGAAAATCAAGAGTGATAAGTCAGCATGACCAGACAGCATACTAACATAAGCACTAAAGTCAGACATGGAAGTAATTGCAATGATGCTTCACATTCTCCTCAAAAAGATTTGATAGAAAGAGCAAATACTAACAGACTGGAAAGAAGGACACCTCATCGAGATACATAAGGAAAGAGATCTCAGCAATTGTGAGAACTACAGAGGCATCGCACTACTATTAATACGAATGAAGCTTTCTAATAGCGTTTTTGAACCGAATGAAAGATTCAGTAGACGCTTAACTTCGAAATGAAGAGGCGGGGTTTTGTAAGGGTCGGTCTTGTGCAGACCGGATCGCCACACTACGCATCATTGTTGAGCAATCAGTTGAATGGAACTGGTCACCATACATCAGCTTCCTTGACTACGAGGAGGCATTTGACAGCATAGATATGAGGACCCAGTAGAACCGTCCTCGATACTATGGAGTGCCTAGAAAGAATGTCACTATCATACGGATTTCTTACGAAATACTACAGTGCATGTAGGCCAGCTCACAAATGTCTTCCAGGCGAACACTATTGTCAGACGAGTCTGCTTACTACAACCAATTCACGCTTGAATGAGAAGCTCTGGAAGAGATGGAAACATAGTTGGTTGGACCATCCTGACTGGGGCCTATGTTGTACTAGGGGTAACAGGCTTAAGTAAACGAGTGTGCGTCTACCACTCACTCTCTTCGTCAAATATATTTAGTCGGTTTTTCTGTCTGACTATAAATATTGAATCACGCTTTATTAAATTGATATGCCACGTTTGCCTTCTTTGATCAGTTTCTCTCTTATCTGTCTGTCTGCGTTTACAGATGAATGAGATATATGTACCCAAGAGTCATTCTCGTATTTGGCCTACTTTATTCCGTCATGCACTGACGCAAATATGTGCGAGGTCAAGCGGGATGTGTATTTTATTAACATCATTATTCAATAATAATCGAGTCAGACAACAGGCCTATAGGATTAGGTCGATAGACTGAACAGAAAAAGCAGTGGAAATGGTATACATTGCAGTGAGAAATTAGATACCGGAGTGATTGTTGAAAAGAATCTAATGGGGTCGAGGAATGAATAGCTTGGATATTCTTACCATTGTTATAATGACAAGTATTCGAGAAAGCATGATAACTACAGCGAATTTGATTTATGGGTTTTTAAAATTCTTCAACAGTGACAGGGAGTTTTTCGTGTAGCTTACATGTTCAGTATTATGAGTCAGAAATATACGATAGGATTTTTCAGCGTAAAATATATTACAGGCTGATATGTACACAATTCGTTCATTTTGTTCACGGAACAGAGTCCTATCTTCCATGCCAAGTGTGGTGTTTAATAAGTTTTTGATTACGTTGGTGTCTGTTCAAAACTGTTTGTATGTTCTACGAGGGGTAACAGTCGCAAGTATGTATGTGTTAGTTTTTAAGGCACTTAAATATCACTTTATTTGCACCCAGACAACAATGAACACTGGAAAAAGAATTTACGAGAAACGACAGGATAGGGTTTTTATTTATTTATCTAGGTTGCATGATGAATAACATACTAATTGACTGTTAAATGTAACTACAATGAGGAAAATCTTGTAAAAGTTTAAAATATAAAATCAAAATTAAACAGACTGTCATTCAGATCATGATAAATATTCCAAAATAAAGATAACATTTTATAGGTAAGGGATTGCTGAACTAGTGTTACAATAAACGTAATAAGATAACTAATGTGGTTCTAAAATATGGAGGACCTCATTTGTTCTGTGTGAAAATAAGTTCATACAGAGCTTCTAAAATGCAACCCACACTCCACGCTTGAGCTTCACAACTATCTTTACATAGCTGAAAATCGAAAAAAATATTTTAATTTATCTATTCAGTACTAGTCTACAAAAGTTGGAAAATATTTCATGCTATTTTATGTGGAAATAATTTGTTATTGGTCGTTTTCAGAATTCGGGCTAAGTTCGCGTTATTCTACGAAATTGTCACAGTAATTCTTTGTAAAGTTTCATATATATTTAGTGTATTACTAATATTCCTGATCCTACGTTATAATAGTTAGTGTAAACTGTTAAAATAACCGGGATCTACGTAAATTATCAATGTCATTACATTCTTTACAGTTATAGTTCATGAAACACTCTAGAGAACTGTGCGCCGTAACTTGCGAAAACTATAGTTGGTTCTATCACCGTGTTAATTATATAAACAAAGTCTTTTATTAAATAAATTAATATTATTTGTAATATCTCAATGAGTAGAAAAATTAGATTTTCTGACGTTTCGTGACTCAGTGTAAGCCACTTCTTCAGAGGATAAATAACCAATATTATTTATTTATAGCAATCTACCCAATGCTCAATTTATTTGAAATTATCAAATCATGCCTTGGTAATGATACCTAAAAAGTCTTTTACTGTCACATTTTCATCAAAAGATGGAATGAAGTGTAGAAAGTACTGGTACCATTTGAAAAATGCTTATGGTCTCAATAATCCTTTCCGTTACTGAGTTATATTTGCCAGGTATCAGAGACTTCAAATCGATGACTGATATAAAAGAATTGTGGAATAAAAAACGTTGTTAATCATTCTTGCTTCGAAAACAGTTCTCAAAATTTATTAGAAAAAAATCCCTCCATTTAGATTAATGATCACTTTTTTGAAAAGTTGAAACTAAATTGAACCCTATGGATTAGTAAACGTACACTGCGAAATTAAACCACATATACCTTGGGTTTCGTACATTCTAGAGTATCACAGTATATAGTGAAGTATCATATCTTCCCAATATACTACGATGCTACATCACCTTACTAATAATCAGGAGAAATCGGCACTGTAGTTCATAACATTACCATTCTCGCAAACAAAATGCAACACAATATATAACAACCATGAGTTTCATGAATTGAAAGGAGATCTACTGCGACTGCTACTAATACTGCCTCAGTATTCATTAGAATAGTTCAATCTAGTTGTGCTGATGTGGTTGGCAAATTGTCATTTACGTCCAAGGTTTCACGTTGCTAATGACTTACTAGTTAACATAGAGGTCGATCTATTTCTTTGCTACGTAAGTATGAGGAATCGAACCTTATACAGTGAAAAATATATATATATGTTGTTCTCATATAAATAGGAATTTCAAAAATCTTACCTGACCATTTGCATTTGTCAATTCCGGAAGAGAACACCACTGACTTGATTCCATTCTCTGATTCAGTCTGGCAAATGTTTTCTGGCATTCTGTAGTTACGTCGAGAGTGAGATGACCCCACTTTTTAGGATCGAATTTGCCTAGCATGCAAGCGAATTTAAGACGAGCGCGTAAA